TAGCTTTAATCCCTTTTAATAAAATTCCTTTTAAATTGCATTTTCCATCTACGAAAATTATATTATTTCTGAGCTGCTGCTTGTCGCCGGCAATTAAAAATCAAATTCGCTTTTCCAAATGAGATTTCTCATCATCCACTCTCCAGCTGTCGTTGTCATAATTTCGTTAAATAACGCAGAGCGGACACCTCATTGGATTGGGATTGGGATTGGGATTGGGATTGGGATGGTATAAGGATGGTATAGGGATAGGAATTATGGGAAGAGGAGTTCTCTGCAGAGCAGCAGCTAGTTTATGTCACACAAATATCCAATGACAGACACCCAGCGGGTGGAATTCCCTTGGCTTCATTTTTGGATTTTTTGGCTTCGCTGCCAAAATATACGGAAAAAACAGAACAGAAAACTGAAAATATGGTAAAAGAAACTAAAGCGCAGACTAAATCATGTTTGGGGGGCGTTTTGTAAGTGGGCGTCGCAGTGGGCGTGGCCTCTTTGCTAATTTCATTGACTCTTCAGTCGGGTTTTTCCTTCTTTTTTTTTTGGTTCGTTGCCAAAAATGCACTAAGTGGGTGGCTTTTATGGGCTTTATGAGTTACTTTAACCCAAATGCAGTTGCTTTTTCAATTCTTTAAATTGGTTGTAGGTTTATAGAAGATTTTTTGTTACTAAAATATTTAATAAAATAAGAAATAAAGTAAGAAAAGAATATAAATTAAATAAGTAAGGAAGCAAAACTCTATATAGTTTAATGTTTAATAATATAAACCAGGTTAAAGCTCATTAAAATCATATAACAAATGGCTCTAGAAATATATTTATTCTTGTATAACAAACCCCATTTAAATATAATTCCCTTGATAAAGAGATTGTTTAACCTTGAGACCACTTTAATTATATAGTTTTGCTTAGAAAAATTGCTGCATCTCATTCTGATTCCTACTTACAATAATAATTAATCAGAAAAACCTTTTGTTGAGATTTTTCGCACCTGCTTTTTGGTGTGGGTTAGTGTGGGTTTTCCTTGGTCTGGCAAGTTTTTCAATTACCTTAAGTGCAGCAGTGCCAGGCAGCAAAAGGTAAGGGCAACAAGTTTGTCTTGGGTTTTTGTGGGTACAGTTGTGCCTGGTCAGCCCAAGTTGGAGATGAAGGCAACCAGGATGTGTGAGGATACAAAATGGGGACCGCAGTTCCTTTGGAGTTTTATGTTCTTCGTTTTGTATCTTTGTTTTTGTCTTTTTGTTTTTCTTTTTTTTACACACACACACACACTAGCTAGGATATAGTCACATATATCATTGTCAAGTCTATATGCAAGGCATACCCCATACTCATACTCCCTCACAGGATGTCCCCCAATCCTCTCCTGGCTGGAATATCATTCCCTTGACAGCGCGTGGGGCGTGCGGCAATCTTTTTGGCTTGTCAAATGCGCATTTCCTGCTTAGAGTCCTTGCCGATGCCGATGCCAATGCCTCTGAGTGCACTTGGGAAAATAATCTACTTAAATCTAACTCAATCTTCTTTAAAAATAAATGTATTTCCTAAATAAAAGCTTTTCAAATAGTATATATTATATTGCTTTAAAGGATTTTATAACAACTTATTCTAAAACTAAGACACCCCTTAATTTCTCCCAGTGCCTAGTATGTATCTGCGCTCGTTGCGTGCGTGTGTGTGTGTGTGTGTCTGTGTGTGAGTGTATCTGTATCTGTGTTTGTCTCCAGCGCAATCAATATGGCGGCGCTGGGGTAATAGCTGCAGGATTTACGCGCTCGTGCGGCGTCTCCACAAGCTTCCTTCCCTGACTCCACCATTGAATCCTGCTCCTCCTGCTCCTCCTGCTCCTCCTGCTCCTCCTCCTGCTCCCACTTACATGACCGCCAAGCCGTCGTCAGCTACGTTCTCGTCCTCGTCCTCGTCCGCATCCTCGTCCTCGTCCTCGTCAGTTACCTTTAAACTTTTTTTTTTATTGATATTTTATGTATTAGTGGGTGTGCGTGGGTTTAGTCTTTTCTCTTTTTTTTATGAAAGCTGCTGTAATGATTTGTTTTATGAACTTGTTCCTGGCTTCAAACCGCCACAGCCAATCGATGTTTAACCAAAGCCCATCGACTTCATTTTGGCCAAGGAATTTATGGGGCAGGCGAAGGGGAAGAGGCAAAAGCCGAAGGTCTCAAAGAGATGCCAAGGCTTATAAAAACCAACAAGTTATTTTGCCAGGCCAAAATAAACAAGTGAAGAGTGTACTGCAACTCCTTTAGCTTCAGGTTTATATGAGTTTAACTTGTACATATTTCTGTAAATTCGACAAAAGAGTATTGGAATTATTTTCTACTTAAAAACCCTTTAAACTCGAGACTTTTATTTCCCAGATAAACCCTCTCTCAGAGCTTTATGTAAGCACACATATCATTCCCAAAAACCATATACCATTTTCCTTTGCTACTCTTTTCTTTTGCACAACTCACCTTTGAATCCTGCGAGGCAGGCTCATGATTTATGGCCAACAGTCGTCGAATGAAAAGGGAAAGAAGAGAGAGAGGGGGCTCAGGTTTAGTAGGCAGGTGTTATTTAGTGGGTGGTGGTGTGCTTTGGGAAGGTTACTCCGCCACACACAAGGCCCAATGCCAAAGCCAAGGCACTAAACTTCAATTAGCCCCGGCGAGAGTCCATGACTTTTAATCAGCGTACTTTACGCCACGCTCTCTCACTCACACGCGAACGAGAGACTCGCAGCTGAAAATGAAAATGGAAATGGAAATGAAAATGCGTGGAGCTGCAGAAAACACACAATAAATTAAACCAACAAGCAATTACAGAAAAAGCAACAACAGCAGAGCAGGAGCGGGAGCAAAAAGCAGTAGCAATCAAACAAAGGAGCCAATAAGGATAGGTTAGGACATTGAAAATATCCTATGTTTGAATAGAGGAAATACATTTTTTTTTTAATTTAAAACATTTTAAAAGCTGAATCTTCTCAGAACGATTTTTTTTAATACGAGTCTCTGGCAAACCTTTTTTCTGAAGTATTTCTCTCTATCTTTCTATTTATTACACTCCTTAGGACGTACCTTTCCATAAATTGTTATAGTTAAGAATCGTTTTTTATACCCTGTAAGGGTATGATCACAAGGTATTATAATTTTTTTCAAAAGCTTAAAACAAAATGAAGGAGTCATTTCCGACCCCATAAATCATAAATATTCTTGATCAGCATTGAAAGGCGAATTGATCTAGCTATTTTTTAAAGAAAACTAGATTTTTTAATTTTTGTCGATTTTTAGAAAAAATGATACCCATCATTAAAATTTGCAAAAATTTTAGGTTTTAAATGGGTATGCAGTTTTGTCAACCTATTAAAATCTAACATAGGACAGCTTTCCGAATTAAAATTAGGGCATTTTTGGATAAGTTATGATCAATTTTCAAAATCAAAATTTCAACTTTTTCAATTTAGCTTCCTTTATTGTTTATTATATATTTGTTTGTTATGTGTTTCTCTTGACTCCAATATATACTTCATATTTTACCCAATTAATGGGTGAACCAAACACAAAGGCAACCGCAAAAGAGTTGCTTAGTTGGTATTGCTTCCTTGCTATTTCTACTGTTGCTCCTGCTCCTTTACCGGCTCCTACTCCTGTTCCTGCTTCTAATACTCATTCTTCTCATCCTATTCCCGCCTATGGTCACACATGACATGGCGACAGACTGCAAAATCCCCACGAAAAAGGAAAAATCAGCGTGGCATTTCCCACCGCGCACAGTGGTGCCAAAACCCCAATGAAAATTACCATCAAAAGGCAGGCTAGTGACTTCGCACCGAGTTCCGTAACCAGGGTGCTCAGTGTGTTGTCCAGTGCCAAGATTTATTTGCTCGCCATCGGAAGTCGAGGGCATATTGGGTGGGTTTCGTTCAGCCGAAGGATGCGAAGGATGTTTGGCATTGAAGTAACCAGGGTCGATCGGTGTCCTCCGCTCATTTTGCATGTTGCTACCGCCGCTGTTCTCTGGGTGAGAGGTAGGGGGAGGAGGGGTCGCCGGCCCATTACAATAACAAATGAATGGCAAATTTGGCTGCTGAAAGCGGGGGAAACCCCCGAACTCACACAAGAAGCAAGCAGACGCAGCAAAGTAGACTATGAAAAAGTGCCGAAAGATTTATGCCTGCCTCTGGCTTCTCTCCGGGATGGTGTCCTGCGAATGTGTGTGTGTGTGTGTGTGTCTGTTTGTGCTTGGCAGTCAATGCGGATTTGAAAGCCATCCTTGGCTATAATAAGCTTGAAAGCCCACCCAAAAGTTGTCTCCCTCAAAAACCACCCACAACACACACACACACTCGAGCACACACCCGGGTGTGAGTGTGTGACATCGCACACACATCGAGTTGACAGCAAATGAGACAGCTGCAAATGGAGAAGGTGTTGGTATTGCTTCGCCTGGCTCTTCCCCCCTTGCCAAGCAATGTGTCGGGTATTAGCCTCAAAAATCCTTCGAACTGCCAGGCAAGAGAGAGAGAGAGTCAGGAGCAAGGAGCCAGGAGCAAGTTCTGACAACCATTCGAGTGGCCTGTCGAATGCGTACACACACACACATCCCAGATATAGATCAAAGATCCTTAAGATGTCTTTGCTTGGAAGTCAGTTGATTGGAGTTTCCTGAAGAAGGAGGATCTAGGGATTGTGAAAATCACTTCTTCCTTAAGGTGGAGATTTTGGTAAAAGGAGTTATCCCTGGGTTTTTTTTTTAATTAAAAGTCAATGGTATATGGTTAAGATGATTTATTATCGCTGTTTTTGTTTATATTTATCTTAGTATTAGTTTTACATGAGGGACAATATATTATTTACAAGATTAAGTATTTTAAATACAGGTTAAAATCACTAAGAAATATCTTTCTTACCTAAGAAGTTCACCCATTAAACCTCTTTATCTAAGTCTGTAAAATAAAATTCCTAACTAATACATAACTAAATCAAACTCTTAACCCATTCCAGGTGTCCGCTGGCCAGCATCTTCACCTGAGTGGCGACATGAAGAGCAATGTTTCGGTGGCCGCCCAGCAAGGTGTCTTCTTTAGCCAGCAGCAGGCACAGCAGCAGCAGCAGCAGCAGCCCGGTGGCAACAATGGACCCAATCCCCAGCAGCAGCCGCATGGCGGCAATGCCGCTGGAGGCGTGAATGTGGGTGTTGGAGGCGTGGGCGTGGGCGTAGGAGTGGGCAACGGTGGTCCCAATCCCGGACAGCAGCAGCAGCAGCAACCAAATCAAAACATGAGCAATGCAAATGGTAAGCAAGTCGAATCTTTATTTCTATATAAACATAAATTGAACCATTATATTCTTCTAGTTCCCTCCGATGGCTTCTCGCTCTCCCAAAGCCAAAGCATGAACTTCAACCAGCAGCAGCAGCAGCAGCAGCAACAGGCAGCTGCAGCGGCAGCAGCAGCAGCGGCGGCGCAACAGCAGCAGGCAGCCGCCCAGCAGCAGCAGCAGCAGCAGGTGCCTCCGAATATGCGCCAGCGTCAGACGCAGGCCCAGGCAGCGGCTGCAGCAGCGGCGGCAGCAGCAGCGCAGGCGCAGGCGGCGGCCAATGCCAGCGGTCCCAATGTACCGCTCAGCATGCAGCAGCCGCAGGTTGGAGTCGGAGTAGGAGCTGGCCTGGGCCCCGGCCTGGGGGTCAATGGCGGACCTGGCGGACCCGGTGGTCCCAACAACGGTGCAATGAATCAGATGGGCGGACCCATGGGCGGCATGCCGGGCATGCAGATGGGTGGACCCATGAACCCGATGCAAATGAATCCGAATGCCGGCGGACCCAGTGCCCAGCAGATGATGATGGGCGGCGGCAATGGTGTTGGCGGCGTCGGTGGCCCCGGTCCCGGACCAGGTCCTGGTGGACCCAATCCCAACCAGGCCAAGTTCCTGCAGCAGCAGCAGATGATGCGCGCCCAGGCGATGCAGCAGCAGCAGCAGCACATGTCCGGTGCCCGTCCACCGCCGCCCGAGTACAATGCCACCAAGGCGCAGCTGATGCAGGCCCAGATGATGCAGCAGACAGTGGGCGGTGGCGGTGTGGGCGTGGGCGTTGGTGTCGGAGTCGGAGGCGTGGGAGGAGTAGGCGTGGGTGGCGCCAACGGTGGGCGCTTTCCCAACAGCGCTGCCCAGGCGGCGGCCATGCGGCGCATGACCCAGCAACCCATCCCGCCTTCCGGACCCATGATGCGGCCCCAGCATGCGATGTACATGCAGCAGCAGCAGCAGCACGGCGGAGCAGGCGGCGGTCCCCGAGGTGGCGGCATGGGTGGACCCTATGGCGGCGGAGCGGGACCCATGGGCGGCGGTCCACAGCAGCAGCAGCAGCGTCCGCCAAATGTCCAGGTAACACCCGACGGCATGCCCATGGGCTCGCAGCAGGAGTGGCGGCACATGATGATGTCGCAGCAGCAGCAGAACCAGATGGGCTTCGGCGGACCCGGCGGACCCATGCGACAGGGTCCCGGTGGCTTCAATGGGGGTGAGTTTACCTTTGGATAACATCTTTGTTAGCTTTACTAATCTCGTGAATCGTTTCTCTGCAGGCAACTTTATGCCCAATGGCGCTCCCAATGCAGCTGGCAATGGACCCAATGCCGGTGGCATGATGTCCGGCCCGCAAGTGCCACAGATGCAGATGACGCCGGCGCAAATGCAGCAGCAACTGATGCGCCAGCAGCAGCAGCAGCACATGGGCGGACCTGGCGGCGGCAACAACCAGATGCAGATGCAGCAACTCCTGCAGCAGCAGCAGCAGCAGTCTGGAGGCAACAGCATGATGGCCAGCCAGATGCAAATGTCCAGCATGCACATGAGCCAGACCCAGCAGCAGCAGCAGATCACCATGCAGCAGCAGCAGTTTGTGCAGAGCACCACCACCACGACGCACCAGCAGCAGATGCAGATGCAGATGGGCCCCGGTGGCGGCGGTGGAGCGGGCAATGGCGGTGTGCCGGCAAGCAACAATAATGGTGGCGGCGGCGGGGCAGGTGGCTCGGCGGTTGTTGGTGGCGGCGGTGGCGGTGGCAACTCCACAACGACCATTGCCAGTGCCAGCTCCATAAGCCAAACGATCAACTCGGTGGTGGCCAACTCGAATGACTTGTGTCTCGAATTCCTGGACAACCTGCCCGTGGACAGCAACTTCTCCACGCAGGATCTGATCAATTCCCTCGACAATGACAACTTCAATCTGCAGGACTTCAACATGCCGTAGATGCAGCCACTGGCCACCACTAGCACCACTAGCACCACCTCCAACCTCCAACCACCATAACCATAACCACCACGATGTTGCCTCAGTTTTGTTTAGGTTTTATTTTTTGTATTTTGTATTTTTTTTGTTGCCACACTGTTGTTGTTACTGACCCCGCCCCGTTCCGGCCTCCCACCCGCGTTCCTGCCAACGAAAGTTATTTTGTTTGTTATATTTGTGTGTGTGTGTCTGAGTGTGTGAGTGTGTGTCTGCATGTGAGTGTGAATTTATTCCTAAGCTAAGTTCGTTCGTCTCTAAATGTACTCCAATTTCCGCGGGCTCCATTGTATTGTATTTCGTAATTGTAATTGTAATTTTATGTATTATTAGCGAGAGATATACATTGCTAGCGAGAGCTGTTCCCAAGGTCCAAAGGCAGCCTGTGGGCGTGGCAGCAGCAACACATTCCATATATAATGCAACACAAACGGAACGAAAGAAAATTAGGGAAATTCGAAAAGTATTTGCAAGTACTTTAAAAAAAAACCAATAAGAAACCGATTTACACAGGCAGACTTCCTTTAACTAAAAAAAGAATAGAAAAGAAAACACTTAAGCACTTGTACTTAATGCAAATTTTGAGTGCCACGCCCATGGGGATCGCTGTGCCGCCCCTTTTTCGTTTCGATTACTTAAGCAACAGCGAAAGGGAGAAGAAGCATAAAAGGGATAGAAAGCAGAAACGCAAAAAGAACCAACAAAACAAAACAAAAACAAAAAGGAAATCGACAAAAAAAAAAACAAAACACAAATAGTAGTTGTACATTTTTATATTGTATTTAATTTAATTTTTTAATTTTTAAAGGAAACGAAAAAGAGCAAACAAAAAAATGGGAAAACTGTCGGAATAAAAGCGAAAATATATTGGTGATATTTTTAAAAAGCTTGAGGAAAAAAGAGAAATAAGCGAATCAAAAAGAGAGGAAACAGAAACAACAAAAACGCAAACTTTTTAAAGAAAAACAACAAACATCAATTTGAGAGAGTTTAGGAGGAGAAACAGTTATTATTATTATTATGATTATTATTCTAATTATAACTATTATTGTACATTAATTTTTATAGGACGACATTCATTTTTAAATGGAATTTTAAACGCGGAGCAAACAGTGCGAGAATTTGCGCAAACAAAAAACATATATATTTAAAAAATATACACTATATATATATATTATGCGTAGTTTTTGGTAGTGAAAAAACGTAATTAGTAGTTTGTTAAATAAATTGATGATATACAACAACCACAACAAAATACATAACATAATATATATAGAGATAACGAATGCAGCAAGAGCAGCGCTAACAATTTACGAGTACATATAGTAATTAGTCCTAAGTCGCCACAAATCGATGTTTGAGGAGATAAGCAGAGATCGAAATTTATATATTTACTACGAATGCGCCTGGCCGCATTACCAAGTGATGCCATGCCAAGCCGAGCCGCGCCCACAGAGACGACGAACAATATACAGAACAGAGAAAATAAACATGAAATTGACAAGCAAGCAAGTTAAATTAAAATAAAAAATACGAGAAGAACGCCAGAGATTCCAGCAATGAAATTATTGTACGACAACTAATTAGAGCAATTCCATAAGTCCGTAAGTTAGAGAGAGGGAGACGTTCAGTTGACGAGGCCATAGAAATTTTTCGAATTGGGCGGCTGCCGCCCGCCACTTCCACAATTATATCGTAACAGACAGCTCACAGCCATTTTTTGCAGAGTTTATACTAAAATTAATTAGGATCGAGGACAGCAGCAAATGCAGCAAGCAACAAAAATCCATAGCACACACGCCTAGCAAAAACTAAATTTATAAAATTATAAATTTAATGCAAGTATTTAAGCCGCAGACAAACAAACAAAAAAATCTAACAGAAATTTACTATTACAATTATAAAAAAAAATAAAATACGCGAATTGTAGTTTGTAATTAATGCTAAAGATACGAAGTAAAAATTTGTTTATAACTATTATATGAAAACCGCAAATTATATATACACTATTATTAAATACAAATTATATATTATATATATACACACACACACGCATATTATTATTATTACTATATACAATATGGCGCATATTATTATTACATATATATATACATACATTTATATATATATATATATTTCACCACGAATAAGGCAAACTACGAGCTAAATCGTAAGGTGTGTTCAGATGCCGCTGCCTCGCTAAGCAGTTCCATTGGCCAGGCCGACATCCTGGCTAGAAACAGAGGGAGAATTACTTGAAAACTTGATATATCAATTAACAAGAAAGCAACCAGCTGCCAGCGGCAAACCAAAAAAAACAAACAACTAAATAAAAAGAAAACATTAAATATTTACAAAACCGAAAACAGAAAATGCAAAAGCAATTGCTGCAACAAAAAGTTTACTTTTAACCACAGAAGTGACATCCATTTGGGCCAGTTTTTGATTTTGGTTTTATGTTTGATTAGCCAAAAATTTATTGGTGCGTGAAAAGAGTCTTCTGTTTGCCGTTCTGTTGTTCTCTCCGAGATTGAACGAACAAATGTTGGGAGGCAAAAAACAAACAAAAACATTTGAAGATGTTCTTTTACGATTAAAAAAAAGGAAAGTAACAAAATAAAATAGAAAAATATTACTTTTGTAAATAAAATGCAAGTTGTTTTGATTCAGCAAAGGGCAGCTATGGAAGTAAGGTACAAAATTAATAAAAACACGAAAGTAAGTAACTTAACTTAAATAACATTCTTTGAGCAGATATGTTTATTTATATTTTTACACGAACATTTTTTTCTACACATCAAAGTTTAGAAATCGCTTAACTCAGCCAAAAATGCACTAATTTTAATTCGGAAAGCTGTTCTATGTTAGTTTTAAATAGCTTAACAAATCCGCATACCCAGTTTAAAACCTAAAATTTTTGCCAATTTTGGCAATTTTCGGAAAAATGTCAAAAATTTATTTCTTGACCGGACAAGGCTAGAACGACTGGGCTGTTGATGCTGATCAAGAATATATATGGTTTATAGGGTCGGAAATGACTCCTTCACTGCGTTTTAATCTTCTGACTGAAGCTTTACTCTGCAAAAAGGTATAAAAACAGACAATTTTCTTAAATAATCGGAGTTTTCCGAACATCATAATTAAGCCAAAATAGCATTAATTTTAATTCGGAAAGCTTTTCTGTGCAGGTTTTTATAGCACTAACAACCCTGCATACTGCGTTTGTTGATGCTGTTATAAGTTTCTGAGTAAAATTATAATAACCTGCAAAAAGGTATAAAAACAGGCAATTTTTCCCAAAAATCATAGTTTAAAAAAACTCATAACTAAGCCAAAAAATCATTAATTTTAATTCGGAAAGCTGTTCTATGCTAGTTTTTAGTAGATTAACAATGCTGCATACTCAGTTTTCAAATTTAAAAAATTCAATTTTTTGCCAAATTTTGGCAATTTTAATGATGTAACCCCTTATAAAATTTTCAATTTTCGGAAAAATGTCAAAAATTTATTTTTTGACCGGACATGGCTAGAACGACTGGGCTGTTGATGCTGATCAAGAATATATATGGTTTATAGGGTCGGAAATGACTCCTTCACTGCGTTTTAATCTTCTGACTGAAGCTTTACTCTGCAAAAAGGTATAAAAACAGACAATTTTCTTAAATAATCGGAGTTTTCCGAACATCATAATTATGCCAAAATAGCATTAATTTTGATTCGGAAAGCTTTTCTGTGCAGGTTTTTATAGCACTAACAACCCTGCATACTGCGTTTGTTGATGCTGTTATAAGTTTCTGAGTAAAATTATAATAACCTGCAAAAAGGTATAAAAACAGGCAATTTTTCCCAAAAATCATAGTTAAAAAAAACTCATAACTAAGCCAAAAAATCATTAATTTTAATTCGGAAAGCTGTTCTATGCTAGTTTTTAGTAGATTAACAATGCTGCAACTCAGTTTTCAAATTTAAAAAATTCAATTTTTGTCAAATTTTGGCAATTTTAATGATGTAACCCCTTATAAAATTTTCAATTTTCGGAAAAATGTAAAAATTTATTTTTTGACCGGACATGGCTAGAACGACTGGGCTGTTGATGCTGATCAAGAATATATATGGTTTATAGGGTCGGAAATGACTCCTTCACTGCGTTTTAATCTTCTGACTGAAGCTTTACTCTGCAAAAAGGTATAAAAACAGACAATTTTCTTAAATAATCGGAGTTTTCCGAACATCATAATTATGCCAAAATAGCATTAATTTTGATTCGGAAAGCTTTTCTGTGCAGGTTTTTATAGCACTAACAACCCTGCATACTGCGTTTGTTGATGCTGTTATAAGTTTCTGAGTAAAATTATAATAACCTGCAAAAAGGTATAAAAACAGGCAATTTTTCCCAAAAATCATAGTTAAAAAAAACTCATAACTAAGCCAAAAAATCATTAATTTTAATTCGGAAAGCTGTTCTATGCTAGTTTTTAGTAGATTAACAATGCTGCATACTCAGTTTTCAAATTTAAAAAATTCAATTTTTTGTCAAATTTTGGCAATTTTAATGATGTAACCCCTTATAAAATTTTCAATTTTCGGAAAAATGTAAAAAATTTATTTTTGACCGGACATGGCTAGAACGACTGGGCTGTTGATGCTGATCAAGAATATATATGGTTTATAGGGTCGGAAATGACTCCTTCACTGCGTTTTAATCTTCTGACTGAAGCTTTACTCTGCAAAAAGGTATAAAAACAGACAATTTTCTTAAATAATCGGAGTTTTCCGAACATCATAATTATGCCAAAATAGCATTAATTTTGATTCGGAAAGCTTTTCTGTGCAGGTTTTTATAGCACTAACAACCCTGCATACTGCGTTTGTTGATGCTGTTATAAGTTTCTGAGTAAAATTATAATAACCTGCAAAAAGGTATAAAAACAGGCAATTTTTCCCAAAAATCATAGTTAAAAAAAACTCATAACTAAGCCAAAAAATCATTAATTTTAATTCGGAAAGCTGTTCTATGCTAGTTTTTAGTAGATTAACAATGCTGCATACTCAGTTTTCAAATTTAAAAAATTCAATTTTTTGTCAAATTTTGGCAATTTTAATGATGTAACCCCTTATAAAATTTTCAATTTTCGGAAAAATGTAAAAAATTTATTTTTTGACCGGACATGGCTAGAACGACTGGGCTGTTGATGCTGATCAAGAATATATATGGTTTATAGGGTCGGAAATGACTCCTTCACTGCGTTTTAATCTTCTGACTGAAGCTTTACTCTGCAAAAAGGTATAAAAACAGACAATTTTCTTAAATAATCGGAGTTTTCCGAACATCATAATTATGCCAAAATAGCATTAATTTTGATTCGGAAAGCTTTTCTGTGCAGGTTTTTATAGCACTAACAACCCTGCATACTGCGTTTGTTGATGCTGTTATAAGTTTCTGAGTAAAATTATAATAACCTGCAAAAAGGTATAAAAACAGGCAATTTTTCCCAAAAATCATAGTTAAAAAAAACTCATAACTAAGCCAAAAAATCATTAATTTTAATTCGGAAAGCTGTTCTATGCTAGTTTTTAGTAGATTAACAATGCTGCATACTCAGTTTTCAAATTTAAAAAATTCAATTTTTTGTCAAATTTTGGCAATTTAATGATGTAACCCCTTATAAAATTTTCAATTTTCGGAAAAATGTAAAAAATTTATTTCTTGACCGGACATGGCTAGAA